GAGACTGTCCGAGCCGGGCTCGAACCGGCAACCTTCCGATTACAAGACGAACACCCAACTCTTGAGCCACGATCGCCCCAACATCCCTTCTCTGAAGATATCCTTACACTTCTTTCCATTATATGCTCAGCTGACGGTCATGTCCTAACAGGTCAGAGCAGCGGTGCAGACAGTGAGCTAGATACACACACAGCTCTGATCACATGCCAGGAGGAACAACTTTAAAAATCACTGAAAAGTTCTCAAAATTACACCCATGTAAATTTCGACAGACTATCAAATTGCCTTTTAAATTTCATATGAATCAATTTCACATAAAGAACAAAGGCAACTAAATAATGTTGGTCGATGCAGCTGGGAAAAAATGAAAGGTATGTGGAGAGACAAAAAGATAGCTGGTATGCAGTATAAAGAGGAAAGACTTTATACTGGGATCAAGACTCTGCTTGCTGCTCTCTCTAACACGGGTAACAATTTTAACTTAACCATCACAACACTGACAAATGCAGATGGTGTAAAGAAAGGCCAGAACAAAAATCACAGTCATCACAGTAAACCACCAATCTGTGAACATAACAAAGACCAGGTATTCTTCCTCTCCCATCCACAATCACATGCTGGAAATGTGCACTCACTCATCAAAACTCAGAGAACCCGTGATATGCAGAAAAAAGATGGAGGTCCTTTATAGACCCAAAGATAATGGAGGCACTAATTCAGGTATATACGTAGACGCTTGTAAGGTTGGTCTCTATGAATTAGCCTTGAGAAAAAGCAATTACCATAGTGGGAAATACTAGAAGTGAGAGAAGTTATAATGGGGAACTTTTTTCACATTGAGGACCTGCAAATGTAAAAAAATAAGCTGTTTTCTATTCTTCATGAAAGAAGAAGAAATTTCAGTGATAAATTTTAATATATTTTATAGTTTATTATTTTTCAAGCAGTGCTAAGATTATGAAACAGGTTTTAAATGCCGTGTCGTGTTATCTGTTCTGGTCCTTTTCAAAGAAAGTTCATGGTAAATTGGGCTGGCTCACTGTTGGACCGACTACCAGCCCATTCACAATTTAAAGCAGTATTACCAAAACCAGCAAGAACTGTAATTAAAGTTATCTGAATATAGAAGACAGTTGATGGAGACAGGATGTATATGTGCTGTGTGAATATGAGTGCAAAGTATAAATACGTAAATGGGACATGCAGTGATATAATGAAATAGAAATTATACTGGAGAATACGTTATGTCTGTAGAGTGATTATGTATTGACTCTAATGCAGGTGTTTTATTTTATAATTTCTTATTGTTCTGTCTATGAAACTCAATGCTGCCTGTGTAAGAGGAACCTGCTTCTTTCATGTTTATGTGCCGTGGCTGTTGGATGGTGTGTGTACAGATCCCAGGTAGATCAGCTTAGACCGAAGCTGATGGAGATCCTGATTAAAAACAAAAAAAATTGGAAATGAAATTATAATTGATGACAATAAAAATAAAGTTGCTAATACACAAAAAAAACGTGGCATTAATTCTGTTTATCGTTGGCAAGCAGTAGTTATTTTATTCTTTCATTAAATTTTGTGGTTCTCCAGCTTGTGTGCAGACAGTCTGCGACACCTTTCACCGCTGATTTGAATATGAATATTATATCAACAGCAGCAATGTTCTGTCTTGTTTTATTTGAATAATGCATTTGCATAATACAGTACTGTTTGACTTATTTGTTCTGTTAGCAGACTATACTTAATCACACTGACTAAAGCAAAAAAAAAAAAAAGAAAAGTGTGGTAGAGGATGGTTATATGTAAAACAATAAAAAAAAAAATCACCTAGCACATTGCTTTAAGCTTGTATGATTTGGCTTTTGACAGTACAGGTGAGAGGTTACTGTCATGACAATAAAAAAAATGGTTTGGTGCTTTTATTGCTAGGTGCATAAATGCTATCATGCTGCTAATATAATCATAATGCTAGGTGATTGCTGGGCAACACAATGACATGATAATGTCTGATATAGTAAATAACCTTCAGGGGCCTGAGATTTTTGTCACGTTTGATTGTCCAACTCTTGGTCAAGGACAAAGAAACAAACACTGAGACAGACAGACACGTACATCATGTAAAATGCATCAAGCACATCATCTAAACGCTTTCGAAATCCTGCTCATTTAACTTCTCCTTTTTTGGGGGCCAATTCCCACACTAAGAATGGTTGGCCTAGCTCATGTTTACCAGTGAACACCTAAATGTCACAGTTGCTGACTTGCAAATCAAAATAAGTAATGGAACTGGTGCCAAATGGACTGTGGAATACTGAAGGCGGAAAAGGGGAAAATGGGACAGAACAGCTTCAAATAATCTGTAATCTCCTTCGATATGTGGACTTGTGAAAATCCATGATCCATGGATTAAACTAACCAGGGGCATTGATTGAAAGAGTGCCTTTTTGAGAGAGCAGAGGGATACAGAGAGAGAGAGAAAACTGATTTATACTTTGTTCTTTATGTTTAGCAGCAGGCCTGCCCAAGCATGTTCTGACACGTTCCTGTTTCTTTTCTCTACTCTGTTTCATTCAAGACAACACCCAGCAAATTCTCCCAGTGGAACTCAGCAATCTCATTCCTGATCACCAATACCTACCCAATCAATCATTCACCATTTCTGGATAATGCAAGGTGTCGTCATCTGCGGACTAAAGACTGCAGATTTTAATGACACATGACAAATAGTCTGAAGTCAGTAGCCGTTTCCTAGCATCAGGAAGATCAAAGCTAGGTGTACTTTCCACTACGTGCCAACAACAGTTGAGATAACACTGAAAGTTACAGGGAAAAAACAGAAGGCCCAATATTTTCAGATTTTAGATAAAAAGGAACAACTCTTGAGGCGTGACTCATGCATACAAGGAAATCCCAGTGGCTTAACTACACAACAATAACCCCCCCCC